TTTCCATACAACTGCTGTGCGTTTGACAATACCCATTGCCATAGTAAGTTCTCCTGTCCCTCCAACAATGCTCCACTCACCATTGATTTGGGAAGTTCCTTGTATTTGGAGTGTGGACCCATTGAACCTGTGTTGCGCACAAAATGATTACGTGATTTGGTATGTATAGTAATTTTTCTCATCAATATATATCATGCGATGAGAAAAATAATTACTTGTGTTAGTTTCAGCTAACCAGTCTAAACTTTTCTGATCAATATATATATATACATCATGCGGTATGTTGACAGAAAGCGAAATACCATGAGTAGGCTTTTGTCTTGAAAAATGAGAATTGAACAAATGAATAACCTGTGGTCCTATGAACATATGCATCATCTTGAAAAAATAACTGCATGATGTTCTACTGGAGAGAGGTTGTGGAAGTACTATACAAAGTTGTGTGTACGTACTACTTACTAAACAATACATTCTCATGTTCTCACCTTTCATCCTCGAACACTAAGCCCAGGGAGTAGTGAAACACCCGGGCGGGAGAATCTGCTACTTGAACACTAGTGCCCTGGAGATGGCCAACGATGTTTGCATCAGGAGTTGCCCCATCGGCTACAGGCCACGAGTAGACCTCGGTTTTGCCCATTATGTTTGACCCCTCTGTGGTCGTTACTCCGTTTTTGTCTGGTCCAGAATGATACACCTCCTTGTTTGTGTATAGAGTCATCTTAAGCTCAGAATGTAGAGGTAGCGCACAAGGAGTAATTGCGCAATAGGCCATGGGTAGTAAGGGACGGAGAGGGTGTGCTGTTTGGATCGGTCAGCTATGTTTTGTTCTTTACTTGTGTCTGAGAAATGAGGAAGGGGTGTGCTGTATTTATAGATAGAAGGAGTGAGGCAGTTGCACAGCTAGCCACAACACGTGGTTTCACATGTGTTTGGAGCTTGCCTGCTAGCTAGGATCATCAGGGATGGATGGATCGATCCCCTCTTGCAGAACATTTAATTGAGGGGCATGGTAGGCAGTGGCGGAGGCAAAAAAAAAACAAGATATGGCAAAGTCAATATTACAGATAGTCTCAGCCCATGCCTAAGTCGCCTGCTTCAGGAAAGAGGTCACAGGCTCACAGCCTCTGGGAAATAGGGCGAAGACATCAACCCATGCTTAAGTCGTCAGCGCACTGGGGCTTGGCGTGGCTCACGGGGCTCCCGACCTTGGGAGGCGGCAACCTACCTAGGGAGGGCGTGAGCGGGATCACCTTTCTCGGGTATATTTCCCCAGAATTTGACAGATGCTCTCAACCTTACACGCAGGACGCAGGGCGCTAGGCCCTGTCGAGGCTCTGTCCCCTCGCGCCCCCGCTTGCTACATATCTTCAAATTGGCACTATATCAAAATTATTGCATCATCAACTATCGCCATCTGATCCAAGTGCAACACCAACCATCACCGGTTGATTCAAGTGCATCAGCAATTCGCATCAATATATCATTTAACTTAGATTTGGTAGAGCAAGCATCTTGGTTAGGAGCTTATTAGGTATAGACATATGCAAGGTCAAGAACGTCAAGTAATTTTATTAAACACAATGGAAATAAGCACTTGACGCTGATAGTTTAAAAGGACATAGTCCTCAGAGTTAATAGGACAGTACTAGAAGAAAGGAAACGAACATAGAAAATAAATAAAAAGTGTAGGCCTACTAGAGCAGCTACATTGGTATATGTCAGTAGTCTCAAAGGTCATCAATCTAATGCAATGCCACATAGGATTTTTGATGATGTGGAGGAGAAGAGAATGGCCCTACCAGTGATCCATCAAGAACATGTCGGAATTACTCATCAGCATATGGTAAAATTTATTGCTACTAGTAGTACCCTGCTTGCTTGACTTTGCGTCTGTTAATTATAGGATGATTATTGGCCACACAATCAACTAGATGTGTTTGTTGACAATAAAACTGTAGGTTCGATCCGGTGGAGCAACCATCTTGGTCAAGGTCGTCGAGGAATTAAGTATTTTACATTTTATCTACACTACACACGCATCAAACAACTGGCACTGCCGCACTGGCATTGGTAGGCACATGACCACATACATGCTAACGATCGAAATATTCGCGAATCAAGGAAGTCTGTGAGATTACCAGTAACTTAGTGAGAATTGAAATTGCCCTGAACAATACATTATTCATCATTAGTTGGGCTCATGTTGGCTTCTCGTTTGACTTAATTTCTGTTAATTGGCATCTTCATGAGTGAACTAGACGTTTGGCCACATGGCTAACAACAAACACCTCGAAATTGGCACCATATCAAATTCTGAAGCATCTTGGTTAGGTGCTCTACGCTGGAGAGTCTCTAGGTCATCGTTCCATTTTATTGAGACATGAACCTCTAGTGTTGGACTTGTGAGGTTAAGATCGGCGAGTTATTATTTATTTTAATTTTACACTTCTTCTATATTTCAGGTGCCTGAATTTTAAGATGATTTCAGACAACACACTTAGGCCACCAACTAGTATAAGTAATTTGTTACTTTTGTGATTTGTTATTTATCTTTGTCTCATAACATATTAAATTTTTGCCCTTATCTACCTATAAAAATAATTGTAAATTGTTAATTGTCTTTGTGCCAACGTAAATCAGATTTTGTCGGGTTTCTAGTTTTGTCTAACGAGTTTTTTATTCTTGGTACCAAAAATTACAGATTGCACCCAGAGAATTGCAACAAACAAAATCTACAATTTTAGTATAAAATATATGCAATAAGCGTCGTCTGAAATGAAACTAAAATTCAGGCACCTGAAATTTAGCAAGTCTCTTAATTTTAAATAAAGGTAGCACTTGATGTTTTAATGTTAAAAAGGACAGTCCTCGTTTTGCGGTTACATACATGGGCAGTTCTGAAAGAAAAGAAAGCAAACAGAGATAGGAAATAAAATGAGTCGGCTTACTTGGGCCGCCAAAATTTGGCCTGTTCTAGACACGGCTGACACTAGCCATTTTAGGGTCTTCCTGCCAACGGTATGCTTACATGTCATCCTTCTGTCCTTGCCTAATGTTGCTACTTTCTTCAATATTCATTCATCGCTGCTCATACTGAAGTACTAGCTCAGGACATTACAGGAGGAGCTAGTTTGACACGACTAGCTCAGCTACAAGCTAAGAGCAAGTAAGTAGGCTGAGTGCTGGAAGTAAGCTGAATACTCCATCCGTTCAAATTACAAGTCGCTTAGACTTTTTTTTTCATCCGTTTTACTATGTATTTAAACATATTATTATATTAAGATATATAGCAAAACGGATGAACTAAAAAAGTTAAAGCGACTTATAATTTGGAATGCAGGGAGTACTAAGGTGGAGGAGAGAGGAGAGAAAATATAGGAGAAGTGGGCTGAAAGCTTACAACCAGCTTAGAGACAAGAACTAAAAAAATTTATGGGAGAGATAAGTGGATCATGAATTAATACTGAAGAGGTAACTACTGTATGAGTGGACTTAGAGGTAGGATGCAAAGATCTTTTAGCTAGCAGCCAGCTGTAATTAGCCTTGCTCTAATCCAGGACTCTCGCCAGGACAACAATACATCGGCGTGAAGAATGCCTATTGTCTTGCTCGCTCCCTTACAGATTTGCTAAAATAAGTTACTAGATGTGATCAGAAAAAAATTTACTAGATGCTAAACAAAATTCCGTTGCTGACCTTAACAGCCATCTTAGCATATTTTCAACACACACACACTCTCTCTCTCTATACACACATATACAAACATACATATTCAACCACCAAGTTTATAACAAACAATGAGCTAGCTAGCTCTGTCTAACTATTGCAGATTATAAATTTTTTTAGCTGAATGATCCTAAACGTAAGGAGGAATATAATGATGATCTCACTCGTGGCCCTCACTAAAAACAGTCTTGTCAGCTCTGATTGGCGCAATTAATGGCCAACTAGCACGTTATTGCTTAGCTCTTGACCATATATTTGTCGAAAAGAATTGAACACTAAAAGTCCATTTATTTGTGCAGGTAGGGTATGTAAACAATGCATACCTAAATAAATAAATGAAATATACAATTAATTAGTTAAACAGGTTAGCAATAATTAGGAAATACAGTGTGTTCCAAATAACCCACAATGATTTCTTCTTCTCATCAAAGAAATACAACCTGCAGTATCTAAAAACACAACTCGTAGCATGATTTATGTAGCTTAAAAGAAGGGGCCAGTGCAAACCGAATTTGATCTACAGAAGAAATGTATCCTACATCGTTAGTTTTAGGTTAAAAATGATTTCATATTATTGAACAATATAGAAACTAATCTCAAGTTTCCAAAAATCTAAAATTTGTAGGACTACCAAATATGCTCGTGAGTTGAAACGGGAAAGAAATAAATGCTTGTACATGAGAGTTGTGTAAAAAAAGGAAAAAACATTTATTTGTGCAAATATAATTTTACACTTTGTTCACTTAATTGATAGGTTAGAAGTCCAGGGACAGCACATCGAACATGTTGCTGCTTTCAATTTATTTTGGTTTGGTTTGCACCAGTGTCGCAAAGTTCCCTATACGAAGGGTACGAGGAACAGGTACGTGGATCGAAAATTTTAAATTCCCGGTTCATGAGCGTATTTCTCTTAGAGACGATTGATTCGAAGAGTGCAACATGGTCCCTAGATAATTTGGACAATATACATGGAACGTAGGCTTAGTTCAACAGAGTGGTCCTTCCTGACACCACCGACGGCGAGGGAAGCCAAAGGTACATGAGGAAGGGTGCACCATCATGCGGGACCAAAGACGACGTGGAGGCGGATGGGAAAAACTCTGTCTCCCACCGGGGAGCCCAAGTTTCTGAACCACCTCGCTGGAGGCCCTGTTGGAGGGCGCCACAACAGCGCTCGGAATACATTACGTTGAGCTCGTAACGTCCACGCTGACTTGCTTGGGGGCACCCTAGCAACCCAACGCCATCCACGCCGTGCGCCCAGAGGTGGATTACCGGTTTGGCCCGGCCATGCTGTACATGGTGGAGATGGAGGGCGCCTGTGGTGGCGGTGTTGACAAGGTGGCTGTCATTTGCCACACCGCCAGTGGGACACCGAGCACCTCTCGTTCAAGCTCCTCCGCACCAAGCCTGGCGGCCCGCCAGATTGCCACGTCATGCCGTATGGGCACATAAGTGTCGGTCAAGAATGGTGGTGGACGCTCATCCAAGTATGCCATCGTTGTTCTGTACTCTCTATTTCTCTGAAGTACAGGAGTAGAGCAGCATCGTCTGTTATAAAATGTTGCATGTTCTTATATCTGCTACCAACGTAAGCAAACAGTTGGTGTAGCTCTCTGCTGTTATGAAACGAATGTATGATTGTTGCGTAGCATATGATTATTTGATATACTTGCATGTTCCACCACCTGTTGCAACTGCAATAAATTTTTCTATATTCAAAGTTAAAGGATAATTAAGAGGAAAGTTGATTTGCATATATACTGTGATCCAATTGTGTTGTGCTTGCTAGAGCATTTGAGCACATTGAAATACCAAACAAAAGAAACCCCAAATCCACTGTATTAAACGACGAAGAAAAGGAAGCAGAAGTGTATTGCTGCGGGGTTAGTCACGATTACCTGCCTCGAAACGCACCTGCTCATACACCATACAAGAACTAGGCCAACAACAAATCACATCTTAGAAAGAACAAAGGATCACAGATGGCAGTCAGTCACGCACCTACAGATGCACGAGCATTTCCAGCCGCCGGATCCACCTACTGATGCAGCCACTAGGTCCAGTTCGCTCCCACAAGCTGCGGCCCAAATACCGGCATGTGAGGGACTGAAGGGACAGAGAGAGACTGAGAGAGAGAGGGGCGTTTTGGACGGCGTTTGAGTGCGCAGAAAGATGCACTGTGCTGATGTGCTCGATTTTAATGGGCCACAGCATTTTTTCAGAATCAGGGCCTCAAAAAAACATTTTATGATTTATGAATACACATGATGACACTGCGGCAGAATTTCATTGCAATACAAAATAACGCCAGTGACGCTAGACCACAACACTAAAATACCGACAGATACACAGTCTCGTAGAGCAAAGTACAAGGTGACACCGATACAAAGTTGAGATTATTTATTGGGAAACAAACGGCGAAGTGCACATATTGGCCATTATTGTGTGGCAAAGTACGGAGACCAGTCTAACAGACTGCATAAAGCTCACGCCTTCTGGAGGTTAATAATCATCAGATTCGGTAGTCTCAAAAAACTACACAAGGTCATATATATACATAATTAATCAAGGGAATATGTACAAGTTAAGAAATCTCGAGTTTCAACTGTACATACACAAGCCTGTATATTAATTAATATATGTCATATAATATAATGAAAGGAGATATAACAGTAAGTTGTGTACTCCCTCGGTCCCTAAATAAGTGTGATTCCCGCTTCCATAAAAGTCAAACTCTTTAAACTTTTACGAAATATTTACGAAAAATATTAATATTTTAGTACATAATTAGTATCGTTAGATAGATCGTTAAATCTATTTTCATGACAAACTTATTTGGAGATACAAATGTTGTTAATATTTCCTACAAAACCTAGTCAAACTGAATAAGGTTTGACCGGAATGAATACCGTAGCGACACTTATTTAGGGACAAATGGAGTATATATGAAGTTGTGTAGTTCCATATATGAACAATTACATACGTAATATGTTCCATATACATGACCCAAACACCTTTAATCCGTTGGCCTATATATGAAGTTGTGTACTTCAAAAAAAAGGCAATGAATAATTGTATGCCTATATAAGGAATCTAGTATTTTACTTACACTAGTTGTAGCAGGCTTCATTGGAGCGAAATGTATTTTGAGTTCTGAAACCCTGGCATTTTCTTTGTATACAATTTCTGTGCGTTTGACAGTGCCCATTGCCATAGTAAGTTCTCCCGTCCCTCCAACAATGCTCCACTCAGCATTGATTTGGGAAGTCCCAGACAACTGAAGTGTAGACCCAGTGAACCTGTGTTGTGCACAGACACATAATAAAATATAAGAAAACTTTGCATTATAAAAAAATGATTACGTATGCTACATGCAGTTAACCAGCATAAAGTTTTCTCATCAATATATATCTTGTGGTATGCATGTTGACAGAAACCGGAAAATGCGGTCAAGGTTTTTTCTTGAAAAATAGCCTGGGAATTGAACAAATGTTGTGCAAATGAATGTGTGTACGTACTACTAAAGAATGCATCATTCTCTGTTAGCTCACCTTTGGTCCACGAACACTAATCCCAGGGAGTAGTGGAACACGAGATTGGGAGTATGGGCAACTTGCACACCAGTACCCTGCAGATGTCCGACGATGTTTGCATCAGGACCTGGTCCATCGGCTACAGGCCAGGAGAAGACCCAGGTTGTGCCCATTTTTGATCCACTTGTGGTAGTTACTCCATTAGTGTTTGGTCCAGAATACACCTCCTTGTTTGTGTATAGGGTCATCTTAAGCTCACGATATTGAGGTGGCGCACGAGGAGCAATGGCGCAATAGGCCATGGTGGCTAGCCAGCGTGTTCACAGTAGGGGAGAGAGTGAAGACGGAGTGTGTGTTATTTGGATCGGAGGGATGGCAGCTATATTTTGCTCTTTACTTGTGTTTTATGAGAACTGTGGAGAAGATGTGCTGAATTTATAGATGGCCACAACGCGCACGATTCTTATTTATTTATCGGTAATGCGACAAACAGGATGTCCGACACCAGCGACTCCTCTCCGGACGCGTGGTGTGACGTGCACCACAACTTTATCTCACTGCCGCACACACCACTCGCCTAAATGAATAAAAAAACAAAATCAACTCCTGCTCGCCTCGCTCCGCACGCGCCGCCTGGCCAACGAGCTCCTCTCTGTCGTGCTTCCCTGCTACTCCGCTCTCTCTCTCTCTCTCTCTCTCTCTCTCTCTCTCTCTCTCTCTCTCTCTCGCTCGCTCGCTCGCTCGCTTGACCATCTGGCTGCCCCTCCCCCACCCGCGTCCTCCTCTCCCACCCCGCGGCTCCTTCCACCACCCCGTGGCGTCCCTCCCCCACCCCAGGCGTCCTCACCCACCGGAGCCCCCAATGCCATAGATCGGATAGCCTCTCCCCCACCCCAGCGAGATCCATAGAGCACAAGTAAGATCCATGGAGGTGGCATGGCGGTGTTGTAAAGGAGTGGGCGGCTCTCCCCACCCCAGCACGGCACTCTCCCCACCCCCGCTGGCACCCTCTCTCGCCCCGGCGACCGAGCTCCCCCCACCTCGGCGGCCATGGCGCTCCTCGCCCCCCATCCCCCACCGTCACCGCCGAGCCAAGCCCGATACTGGTGGCGCTGGTGCTCACGTGTAGCTGTTCGCCGCCGTCTCCGACCCTGATGACCGGAATCGACCGGCCTAGCGTTCCCCTCCCCTTGCATATGTATGTTTCAAGTATTTTAGGCATTTCAGATGTATGTTGCAATTGTTTCATATGAATGTTGCAAAAGTAGATCGGGGCATGTTGCAAATGTTTCAGAGGCATGTTGCAAGCATTTGTTCAAAATGTTTTATCTGTTTCCAGACATATGTTGCAATCGTTTTGATATGGATGTTGCATATGTTTTCACACATATGTTGCAATAGTATATTCGAAAATGTTTCATATTTTTTAGTCTTATGTTGTAGCAAGTGTTTTTATGTTGCAAGTTGCAAGTGTTCTATCTGTATGTTGCATATGTTTTTCACACATATGTTGCAAGTATATGTTCTAGATGTTTCATCTATTTGAGATGTATGTTGCATTCAAGTGTTTCGTGTTGCACGTGTTTCATGTTGTTCGGAGAGTCAGGAGTCGTTGGGGAATGGGGCACGGCGAGTCGGTGGCCGGCGGACGTGGTGCACTGGGGGTCGGCGGTCTGGGGCACATTGGGGTGGGGTGCGCCTGTGGGGGCGGGGCAAACAGATGGGGATAGGGGCAGGGTGCGTGAATGGGGGCAGGGCAGGCGTTGAGGTGGGCGTATGTGTGCAGTCGAGCCTACAAATAAGCATGGTGAGGTGTGGATTTTTTTAATTGCATTTTAACGTTTCAGCGGGAATTTGCACCATCCGACGCTAAGCGTCCAGATCGGACGTCTGGGCGCTAGCAAGTCTATTTTTTTATTTTCTTTTGTTTTCTTTTTTATTTTATTTTTTATTGTTTTCTTTTCTTTGCTTCTATTTATTCTTTATTTTTCTTTTCTTTTTTTAGATTTCTATGTTTTGTCATTGTTATTTTATTTTTTATTTCTATTATTTCTTTTTAACTATACTTTACTATTTTTTTTTATTTTAATGCTTTATTTTTCTTTCTATTTCTTATTTCTTTTTACTCTCATTTACCTATATTATATGAGATACATATGATGTTTATGTAATATATATATGTGATGTTATATGATGTATTTTGTCATGTTCATATAGTATACATATGATGTTTTTTATGTATTTTGTGTTGTTCATGTATACATGTAGTATTCATGTACCATATATATGTGATGCTCTATGATGTATTTTTGTGATATTCATGTTGTACACATGTGATGTTCTACGATGTATTTTTTATGTTCATGCAGTATATATGTGATGTTCTGCTGTCATGTTCACGTATTATACATATGATGTTATATGATGTTTTTTGTGTTGTTCAAGTAGTATACCTATGATGTTCTTTGTGATATTCAGTAATATAAATGTGATGTTCTATGATGTATTTTTTAAAGTTCACGTGGTATACCTGTAATGTTTTATATATTTTTGCGATGTTCACGTGTGATATACGTGTGATGTTATATGATGTATTTTTATGATCACGTAGTAAACCTCTCCCCCACATTATTTTTGTTCCTATTTTCTATTTTTTCAAATAACTCTATGATATATACTCGCTCTTGCATGCTAGGTGCTGCACTCTTCACTACGGGAAACGGTGACAATGCCGAGTGCTTTCTGTTTGCCGAGTGCATTATATCGGGCACTCGGCAAACATAACATTTGCCGAGTGTGTACTCCAAGACACTCGGCATACTATTACACTCGGCATATCTATTATTTACCGAGTGTCAACACTCGGCCTCTAGGGGACACTCGGCAATAACCACCACGTGACCCGCGCGTGCGCCGTTACCGGGCGGCGTGCCGGCCGTTAGTACTTCGCCGAGTGTCCGTTAGAGACACTCGGCGAAGTATTTATTTGCCGAGTGTTTTATTCCGGCACTCGGCGAAGTGTATGGGTTTGCCGAGTGTTTATGGAGACACTCGGCGAATGAAAAACAATTTTTCCCTCCTCGGCCCTCCACAATTTTTCTACTCCCCACATACGACATTTTGTACTGCATGTTAAAAGTTGGTCTATTTCTTGGTTTGTTTGCTATATTTAGTGAATTAATTTCATTTTGAGTAATTTATTGATTTAAACGAAATTTGAACTGCAAGTGATTGAAATAATAGAATAAAATGAGTGGAAAAATCATATTCATGTCATTGAATCCGGATTGATGTCTCATACAGGAAATGAAAAGAAATTTCGAACATTTTGTTCAGGAAACACGACCACGAACGTGTGTTCGAATGATTTTAAAATTCTACCAAAACCAAACGAAGTCTGAAAATCACGAGATTTGTCAAGATGTCATGATATCATATGTGGAGGCTGTGGTAAAAAATTGAGAATGTTTCGCATAATTTGTGACGTATGATGCTTACAAACGGAAGCATCTTCGGAGAAAATTCGTAGAACTTAGAAGGATCCGATAAGATTTAGAGTCCAAGTGACATGTTAATTGGGTTTGAGTTCAAATTTTTTTGTATAGGCAATACACAACATAGATTAGTTCATGTCAAATTTTGACAAATTTTTGGATCCGTTTGATATTTTTTATTTATTAATTGCAATTATAGAATTTTAGTTGATATAAATTAATTTTGAGCTATAACTGCATGAAATAATGAAATAATATTAGTAGAAAAAACAAATATGCATTTTGAGTGAATTTGACAAGTTTTTTTTCAAAATATATAGGAAAAAAGTTACTAAAAGAAGCTATTAAAGGTATACATAAAATATTAGCGTAGTTTGCCGAGTGTTTCTATATAACACTCGGTAAAGTATCTCTTTGTCGAGTGTCTTATAGAAAACACTCGGCAAAGTCTTGGTGCAGGCCCACTGCCGCGCGAGTAGACCCTTTGAAAAAATAAAAAAAATAAAAAAGGAGCTATGCCGAGTGCCAGATCGCGGGCACTCGGCATACCCCCTAACAGTTAACCCGGCGCGACCCCGCACGCCACACACACGCACACAACGCACACACGCCACAGACACACGCCGCGACCACCCGACCCCGTCCCGCCGGCGTGCCCGCCGCCTCCCCCCGCCGGCGTCCCCGCCCCCGCTCCATCCCCCGGCGGCGCCCTCCCGGTCCTCGGCGTCGCCCTCCCGGCCCCGGCGCGCCACGCCCGCGGCGGCTCCACCCGGCGGCGCCACCGCCCCCCCCCCACACACCGGCGGCGTGGCCGCGCCCCTCGGCGTCGCCCTCCGGGCCCCGGCGCGCCACGCCCGCGGCGGCTCCACCCGGCGGCGCCACCCCCCCCACACCGACGGCGCCCGCGGCGGCGAGGCCACCGAGCGGAGCGGGAATCGGAACGGAATCGAGTCGAATTCGTCCTCACCTTCTCGTCGTTGCTGGTAAGGAAGCCCTAACGTTGCTTGCTCGGATTGAAATTATATTCCCTGTTCTACTAAGGCTTCTGCGGTTCCGCCCTTGAATTTTCGGTAGATTCGAGCAATCCAACCAGAAATTCCTGTAATTCCTTGTCGGGATGGGTTATCATTGAATCGAGCCCCACTAGCTGCTGGATTGGTTCTTGATTTTCAATACATGAATTTCTGCCGATCGATAGGCCGATAGCTACACTGCATTCTTGTTTGGTGGTTAGACTCGTGAGAGCAGCCGTTTCTGGCTTTCTGTTTGCTGAACCCTTTCCAGGGTTGAATATTTGATGTGAAAGTGATTAAAGAACTAGGACACTGTTTGGCCAGTTAAAGGGCTTACTTTTAGAGATGCTTCATTTTTTTTTCTCTTGTTTCTAAGAACACACACTTGTTTTCTGTACCTGATACATAGACTGATAGACACGTGAATGCAGACAAAACTGTGAAGATTTCTCCTCTTATGGAAAACTGTGAAGATTTCTTCTCTTATGGTTTGGGGCTTTTTAAGTGAGAAAGAACTAGCAAAAAAAAAAGGAAAGAAAGAAAGAAGACAATTCACATCTACTGTGCCGATCCATTTTAAACCACATCTACTGTGGTCATCAATTTTGAATGATGACTATGTGGCCATCAATTTTGAATGATGACCGGAGATAATGTACAGTACTTAGAAGTTTCACTAGTTGGGTTACAAAGTGGAAAGCTTAAAATTCAAAGTCAAAAGTCTGATTTGTCTAACTTAATGTTTGAAATTCTGAGAAACTTATAAAAAAAATTAAATAAAGTTGAATGTATCCC